AGTAAACATTTCCCCTTACACCCAATGCATATGCATTATTTGGTTCAATCTCCAATGACTTATTGAGATCAACCAATGCATTGTCATGTTGTTTAAGCATGAGGTAAACATTTCCCCTTACTCTCAATGCATATGCATAATTTGGTTCAATCTCCAGTGCTTTATCAAGATCAGTCAATGCATTGTCATATTGTTCAAGCATGAGGTAAACATTTCCCCTTACTCTCAATGCATATGCATAATTTGGTTTAATCTCCAATGCTTTATCAAGATCAACCAATGCATTGTCATCTTGTTTAAGGTTGAGGTAAACATTTCCCCTTACACACAATGCAAATGCATCATTTGGTTCAATCTCCAATGCTTTATCAAGATCAATCAATGCATTGTCATATTGTTTAAGCATGAGGTAAATATTTCCCCTTATACTCAATGCATCAGCACTATTTGGTTTGATCTCCAATGACTTATTGAGATCAACCAATGCATTGTCGTGTTGTTTAAGCTTGAGGTAAACATTTCCCCTTACCCGCAATGCATATGCATTATTTGGTTCAATCTCCAAGGACTGTTTAAGATTTTTAAGAGCTTGTTTAAATTCAGATTGCATCAGATAGTTATTTCCAAGTATTGCCCAAGCTCTGGCGTTTTTAGGATTATTCTTGATTGTCTTATTTATGTATTCATGACACTTTTGGTAATCTGATCTTTGAATATATGCAAAAGCAAGATCACATTGAATGGTGGAACTATTAGGGTAATGTTCAAGTGCTCTTTCCAACCATATAATTGCATCTTTGTACTTTCTACTATTGAAAGCTTTTATGCCTTGTCTGTAGGCAGGATGTTGTCCTTTTGGTCTTCTAATTCTTTGCATTAAAGTTTTCTTAGGCTTCATTTTTAGCAAATATAAAAACTTTGTTTTCATTATAGAATATTCTTCAGAATCACTATCTACATCATTCTGGTTTTCTACAACTGCTGCAAAGTCTGATGTGCCATCCTTTGGTGTAATATGTCCAGTTTCAACAAATTTTTCATATAATGCTTTATAAATGGGTGAACTTTCTAGTAATATGGTGTCTTGCATTTTGATTCCCTTGTTACAATAGAAGCATTTCAATGAACGATAATTCAATTTCATAAATGTCTCTAATGCTGAATAACTGATTTTGTGTTCACATGGCAATATTCTAAAATCATCTTTAACCTTCTGTGTAAAGGGACATGTGAGATGATCTGCCACCATATCCAAAATTAGCAAATCATTTGGATTTGAATCAATCAACCCCACAGGGTCCTGTTTATGTTCTAGCACTGTCCTTTGCTTTGACATTGATGGTTCTGACACTAATGTGGACCTAGTAAATTTATATTTAATGTTGATGTATTCTATTACATCCTGGAGCCTTTTCTTTTTAGTGTTAGTTCCATCTAATTTTGCAAAATGTTCAATATGTTGGGATAGATCCACTTTGACAACTGAAAAAGTATTATTAATAGTGTCTGGCTCATGATTATAAAGTGTCATTAGGACTTCCATTGCTTTAAACTGAATGTTTTCTGTTGACACAATGTCAAGTGTCAATTTTGCAAGATAATAGCAGTGAGCCAAAGTACTCATATTCTTTGTAGATAATATAAGCTTTTGAACTATTTCCAGTATACCATACAATAATGAGTGTGGGTATGATACAGGAGCATAGCCTCCAATATGGACCAGGGTGTGTTTCAAGTTGGACTTGAAGGCATCTATCTCAGTCTCTGGTGTTGCTGCCGTTTTGGTCCATTCTTGATCTCCAAATCTCCACAAATCTTTAATAATCATCAGTTCTCCTTTGTCAATCAAATCTTTATTAATTGGAATAGCTGACCATTCAACAAATGCTTGATATGTGCAGTATAAGTATCTCCAATCCTTGTACCAATAACTGACAGGAAACTTGGGACCTAAACCCTGCTGAATTTTATTGTAAGTTTCAAGAGACGTTTGATTGTCAAGTGGAGTTTGGATATTTGGCATAATATTGGCCAGACCAGGTAAAACTCTAACTAATCCAGCAAACGCTGTCTTTAAGTATCTTATAGTCTCAAAAAAGACCGTTTCATCATCATTCATTGCATGAAGAGTGTCCCGCAGATGTATCAATAAGAAATCATTATTGTAGTTTTGGCAATCGATGCCTTTTTCTAAATTAGAATATAACCCATATGCACCTCTTTGTTGGTTGTATGGGTTATACTCGGATTTGAAGTTCTTGTCCAGTCCATTCTTTAGTGCTTCAGTATGCCGTTGATGGAAATCATTCAAAACGGCAAGGTGTCCATACAAAGACTCACGAAATTCCCTTGTCATTATAAGCGGTCTCTTGCTCCATGCTTCCAATGCCAATACATATGTCCTGAGATGTAGCTCCAATTCCATACCGGTTGTCGCCTTATGTGCCTTGTATGAGATGTCTGCTGTTCCTATTACCGTCAATACATTTTCCAATAAATCATCGTCCAAACCGTCCTCAGTTGTCAATAACAAGGTATGCAATCTGATAAAGTGGTGCCTTCTGTCATTGTTGTTGGTAATTGCTCCTAAGCACTCGATGACCTGTTCCCTCAATTGGTTTGCGCCCAAGTTTTCAGACGATTGGATTGTATCATCAATCTCAACGTCTTCAGTTTGTTTGCCTTTACCCTTGTTTTTCGTCTTTGAAGAGGACGATTTCCCGTTGTCCTTACATAGCAAAAGTATGAAATAGCGTATTAGTTACAACGGACTTTTGCAAAGTTTGACTGTGAAGACGATGGTTATCTAAACAAACGAAAGACTGCAATTTTCGTTTATATAGACATATAGTTTATTAAAAGCTGTGACGTTTTCATAAAGCGTAAAATAAACTCACAATAGCATCTGCCATCTCTAAAAAGTCGATATAAGGTGTCTAACTAGCGTTAATGATGTAATTGCTGTGAATAGAACCTTTGCCAGCGTTTGTTGTGCTTGTAATGGTATAAATGTAATACGACCGTCAATCGGACCAATCAGCACGGATGATTATCAAAGTATACAATAACGCAAATGTTTATCATACTACAGCTTACGCTAAGGATTATTAGATGACTTTGTCATTAATTAGAGTGAGATGAAACAAACAAGCCGGCTTACTAAGTGGGAGGTATATTCAGTGACTCGCATCGCCTTTTGCTTCTGCCTCCCAATTTTCTTTCAGCGCCGTAAAAACTTGGATAACGTCTTGAAGAGTCCGTAGTGAGTAGATACATATTAAAAATGTATGCCGTATTAGTATGTCGATTGCCGCTTCATTATCACGTGATAATGTTAGTATAAAGAAAATTTCTTTGTAAATGTTACAGGTTGCCAATACTTTTCTGCCAATCACAATTGGCTGAGAACAAAACATTGCACTGAGGTAATGTATAACCGGGAAAGCTTGAGGTGCCCCGCACAATTTTTATTGAAAATTTCAATACAACACGACGCTTTCTTCATTTCATAAACCATCGCCTATTCGTCTTTTATTTAGAAAAATTCTTATCTACAAAATGTATGGTTGGTTCCGAAATTGCGGGTTGTCCTTGGTTCGGTTTCTTGGTTTTTGCCCCTTCTTGCTTTCTTGCATCTTTTGCCGTGCGGGCATAACAAATCTGATCGACTACCTAGTCCAATAATATAGTTGGTATTCTTGCCATGTAATTTTTATTATAATCGATTGGACTTTCATGATTGTCAATTCAAAAGTCAAGTATCGTCAGCCAAATCAGATAAGTAAACCAAACAATCACTTAAAATAGAAACAATTAATGTTAAGCCTTACATAATAGATGTTATTTGATTGATTAATACATATAAAGAATGGTAGGAAATGAAAAAGGCAATCGGGTAGACAGTAACTTAACCTAACATTTGACCGTGTGACATTAACTTTTAACGGGGGGTGAGGGGCATCAACTCAAAATATCCATGAAACTTTTCCGTGAGGTTGTACAGTACAAGCATTCTTTTTTCTTGTCCAAAAACAACCATACAATCGGTGATCTGTGATGGTGGTGCCAAGATGATCGCAATGTCTGTGTGCAAATTAATGCGGAACAGAACATCCCGCAAGCCGATTATTCCATACAGGGTTATATCACATGAGGAAAGTGATCAATTCACGCATAGTACGTATGAAGAGAGAGAGGCAGAGAGAGAGGACGAAAAAGGACTGTTTCTTGTAACAAGCAAGCATCAGGAATCATAATAGTGACTCGCAACTATAAACGTATTAATAGTAATGTAACCCTTCAGAACATTCTAATTCGGATATCTCCAAGATTATCAGGCATATATATCCTACTAAACTCGTATGGGTTAAGAAAAAAATCCACGGCATGTTTCTTTTAATATTTCTATAAATACGTTGTGTAACCATATTCCTTTAAAGTATATATTTATATTTAGAATATGGTTCCCAATTTGACGCCTCTCCCAAATAACCGACAAACATACACTTGAGAGTATTGGCATTCGAATTACTGGCTTCTTGTTTAAACATCGTCTTCTAAATTCTCGACGCTCCCACCATCAAAAACTGTTGTGGGCGTGTGTGTATTAGTATAAAACACATGTACGTGTGCAGTATCAACTATTTTTCCTACATTCGCGGGAAATTGTCGACTTTGATTTTTTACAAGGCGTTACACAACGCATGACATCATTCAATTGCTCACAAAGCGAGTTTTTTCGAATTCATTCTTGGGAACCTGGCTGCAGCAAGATTGGATAATACCCTTTCTTTCTCTTTGTAATTCCATACTTAGCACGCACGCATCTCTCTACTTTACTCGCCTCCCTTGTCTTACTTCCAACCGCTGCCCATCTTTCCTTCTGTATTCTATTACATACTCTATTAGTTTTATACTTGTAATCTACACTTTTTATCCTTCTCACCACTACCAACCCCCTCCATCGCTCCTCATCTATCCCAACTCGCACACAAACAATAATGCCGAAGAAAGTAAAGCAAGATCTTCCCCTACACAAAGTCATCATGGTCGGCTCGGGTGGCGTTGGCAAGTCGGCGCTTACTTTGCAATACATGTACGGTGACTTTGTCGAAGAGTATGACCCTACAAAGGCCGACTCGTATAGAAAGAAGGTCACGCTGGATGGACAAGATTGTCAGATTGACATCCTGGACACTGCCGGGCAAGAAGAATACGCTGCCGTATCCTTTTTTATTATGAGAGAACATGTTGGGCGATATTTACGTAGAGGAGTAGGTGGTGATAAATCGTAGTCATTAGTTCAAATTAGGTTGAGCAGGCTATCAGTGGATGAGCAAATGAATCGAATTAAGATACAAAAAGACTCTAAAGACATTCTCTTTAATTGATCGGACACGACGTAAATATCATCTCTTGTCCTTGACTCGATGCATGTCTTATTGTAGATTCGAGATAATTATTATCGTTCAGGTGAAGGCTTTCTCTGTGTCTTCTCTATTTGCGAACACGAATCTTTTTTAAATACACAGGATTTTAGGGAACAGATTTCACGAGTTTTAGACGACGATAGCGTGAGTAAAAACAATGTAATTACAAGCGTTCCCAATTTTTTATCTCTTTTGCCCATTTTTTTTTCTTTCTTGTTTCCCGTTCAACATTCTCATACTCGTTTCTCCATAGGTGCCATTTATCCTCGTTGGTAATAAAGCCGATCTGGCTAATAGTCATCGAAAAGTAACAAAAGAAGAAGCAACAGCCAAGGCAGCCGAATGGGGATGTCCGTACATCGAGACGTCGGCAAAAACGCGACTGAACGTAGATGAGGTTTACACCGAGTTAATGAGAAAGATTCGAGCACGCAAAGAAAGTCAAGAGAATCCAAGACCAGTAAGGAATAGATGCGTGTGCTTGTGAGAACAATAAAGAGGGAGGAAGATGCACGGTTATTATTCGCTTTTTCTTTTTTTCTTTTTTTATTGTTCAATTGAGTTTAGATTTATTCTCTCATTTCCCATGGGGGGCCGTAGATGTGTACGATTTTAAAGAAATATTAGCGAGTGCGTGTATAGAACAGTATTTTGTAATAGTATATCTGTTTTAATTTCTTTTTTTTTTTTTTCATTCTTCTTGTCATTTCATATTTTGCTTGTTATTCGTGATTTCTTGTTCTTGCCAAATTGTACTTCATTGTTGCCACATTGCAATATGATGTGGGATTTCATTTACATCTTATTTGTGATTTACCGTTTATGGGCATGCATGTCATTATACGAACTGTGTCACCACGGCATGCAGCGAATCATCAATCACAATAATCATTTACAAATTCAAACGTTAAATAAATTAAACGAGGGCGCGTCCACATTTAATTCTCGACCATGTGGGGAAGTTATAATATCAAATAAAAAATAGACTCTTAATTTATCAAAAAGTGAAACACTTGCGTATAGTAATATTGTAAATGGGTAGCGAAACTGACACTGTAAATTGTAGTTGCAATTGGATTGAAATTGAGAAACAATTTTTTCATTGTTTAAAAGAAAAAAAAAAGGGTTTCTTTTGCATTTTGTTGGACATGTTCGGACCATAATCAAATGTCATTTGCCCGCCTATCAAAATCTGTGCAACACTGATTAAACAACTTGTATACGTGTAATACATTGTTGACGTACCTAATAAGTCGTCGTTTTAAACAAGGTTTAGCGCATACAAGATAAGGTAAATAAAGTCATTGTTTGGCCTCTTTGGTTGATAGAAATTCTATTGCTAAATGAAATCGTTTATTTCGTTCCGGTATCAAAGAGAGAATCATATTACGCGGTTCCGATGCTTACTTTGTATGGAAAGATTCGTTCATGTGATATTTACTGACCGGCAAGTAATTCGATGACAGTATCCCATAACTGATTTTATCCATAATACATTCTATACGCGCATTATAATACAATTATGTCGACGGAATGTGAATTGCGAATTTCATTCTTTTCGGAATTCCCTCGTTACGCGCGCGCAAAATCCAACTGCCGTGTCATTAAGCCATTTCTTCTACACACGGCAGAGCTTAGCATGTTGCGAAACGCGTACAATATGCTGGGTACATTAACCTGCCTTTGTAGCGAGAACAAGGTCCCAAAAGAATTTCTACTTTGAATAAAGACTACACCACTCTTACTATTAATGAGATAATTGTGGCATTTAAAGTTTAATGGTATTTATATTGAAATGCGTTGTGTTTTAACACCTTTGTCCATATTACAAAAACTACTATAACAATTATTTCTATTACATTGTATATTTATTATACATGAACCAAAAGTCGAGACTTAAATTTAGAAATTAGAAGAAAAAAAGAAACTAACTAAAAAGTTCCGTCTGCTATTATCCAAAATTGATTCCACAAACGTCAAGTCTCTTTGCAATTTCTTATTTAGTCGACTCTCGGATAATTATGAAAATAATGCTTGGCCGACCGCAGTTCTGCCCTTATTCCTAATGAGATGATCGTTGCTTTTGCGTCTTTTTTTTTTCCCCATCTTGCACAAAAAGCAACACAAAGGGCAGTATCCCGTTTTCCCAGTTGAAGCTTTTTCTCCCAAAAAACTTTAACTTACACTTTCCCGTTCTCAAAATCTAGTCAAAATTGTTGAAATCCCAATCTCCAAAACCTCTAGCCATCGTGAAAGATCTTCTGTAGCCTTTTTCAAGTCTTCGCGCACTTCATTCACCCCACGATACTTATCCATCCTGATGGCGTCAATTTCTGGACCAGCATCTAAAATAGAAGTTGGCGAGATCGAAGGAGGCGTTGACGTTGGGACGAACTTTGACACTGGTGATGGAAGAAGGTGGCGATTCGAGTTTTCGTCATCTGCAGAATGCGACTATTTCATAAATGTTTGGTCAGTATAACAAAGAATTTTTCCCTGAAACTACCAATTGACAATCGAAACGTTTTCGGCTAGCTTACCGCAGTATGCGATGAATCTCTAAACGATACATTGCTCACGCTCGTGCTTCGCTGTCGTGGTGGTATGTACCTGTGCATACCATCAACATCGCCATTTCTATTCAACAAATCTTCGTTTGGCCTATTCATCATATTTGTCACTGATCTTGCTCGCTTAGGAATAAGAACTGCCTTTGAAGGCGGGATGTGTCGAAGTACTGGCGATGTGGTAGTCTCCTGGGTATCATATGTGTGTCTCATGACTATATGCGGCCTAGTTTTCGTGGGTGTCGAGGACGAATATTGAGCGTTTGCGTGGATAGAATTTGCCACTTGGGTAGATGATGACGACACCGATGATGGAATAGGCACTGGGTTGGACGAATCTTGCACGTGGAAAAAAAAAAAGTCAGTTAAACGTAACAAAAGTAAGAAAAAATGCCAACTGTCTACGCAGGCACATTTGTATTTACCATCATCTCCATGTTTTAAATTAGCGTTAATTGCAAAATATCCGCCCTCTCTTCTTGAGCTTTTCACGTCACCAATCGAAGTAGGAGACAACATTCCTGAAGATGCCGCAACGACCTTGTCATTCTGCTTCGCCTTTACATTTCCTTCCTTTTCTTCTTCATTTGCGGATATCATCAAACGAGGTGGCTTTGACACACCATTCTCATTATTCATTTTGGGAGGTGACTCTGATAGCGGCGAGCCCAGTTCTATTACAGACGTCCTATTACTATATTTACCTTCAGATGTGGATTGCGAGCTCGTAGTCGTTATGCTCATTGCTCTTCCTTGATCATTACTGGGCATCGAGTCTGATGTCGAATAAGGCTTGGGTTTTGGAGATTTAGATGGAACGTTATTGTCCGGTGATAAATTAATCAGGCTAACTGATGGCATCGAAGTAGACATGCTGTAATAGGGAGACGTTTCGACTGTGTGCGAACTCTCTCCTGATCGATCAAACAATTGTAATAGCGGTATCGGTCGCGCAGTGGGAGTGAGAAAAGGTTTTTGTTGCATGTTCTGGTGGCGAGCATTTGCTTCTCTTGCTAGAACGGTTTTATCCGGATCACTTCCACCCGTAAGCATCGGGTCTATATCCGAATTATCATCTTGTACACTGGTGTGTTCGTCTATCTCTATTACCGGCGACAATGGATCGGAAGACGAATTCTGAATCGCACTTGCGGATTGAGATCTACGATGATTGCTGCGCACGGTCTGGTATTGGGGGAGATACAACGTACATACCATATGTGAATATGTGATATGGGCGGTAATAAAAGTATATGAACCTTTTAAATATTAACTTACATCAAATATCCAGTCATTCTCATCTTTATGCTCTTCGTCACGATCATACGAGTCACTGCTACTACTACAAGAAAAAGAATACGACACATATATGATTCGTCGTTCCTCTTGATAAATTATCGTGCAAAACAATTCTCATATCATCAGTCATTACGCAAAAGAATACCTTGACGGCGTATTGAATGGATCAGAGAATGAATGTCGGTGTCCAGTAACTTGTCTCCAGTTTTCATGTCGTGTGATAAGTTCACGGAGTATGCCAGTTTGTTGCTTTGAAATCGACCGAATAAACTTCAACTTCATCAAATCATCTGCAGTCAGGCGCTACGAACGCAAATGACAAGTTAGCGTCGCCCAACTCTCAGAGCAGAATTTTCCCAATCATCTAAATCGAACACATTCTCGTACCTCGTCGGGAACTTCGTTTAGACATGCGGTAACAAATTCCTTCATAAGATTCGAAAAGTCACCTTCCAACCGTGGAGGAGGAGACTTTGGAATTAGTTGAATAGCTCTCATGGCGCTCAGATCGGCCAACGGAGGATTTCCTGTAGCTATTTCGTATACGGTAATACCCAATGACCATATGTCAGCCTAACAAGAAGAAAAAAAAGAAAGGGTTGAGAGATAATGCAGAATGTGGAATGCAAAATTTCCAAGCAAGAACGTCCTAGGGGAGTTTCACTACACAATTCCTTTTTCTTTTTTTTTTACCTTTGTGTCATAGGCGGCACCTTCTTTAATGACTTCGGGTGCCATCCAATATGGGGTACCAACAAAAGAGGTTCGCTTGGATGATGTAGCAGTTAATTGTCCCGCTACTCCAAAATCACACAACTGTACCTTTCCCTCGGCCGTCAATAGAATGTTTGCGGCTATTGAAAAGAATAGCGATATATAAGAATTCATCTTTCCAAACGATTGAATGGTGTGCACAAACTGAAAAGGTTGTCTGATAATACCTACCTTTTATGTCTCTATGAATTATTTTACACTTGTGTAGATAACTTAATGCTAGCAATACTTCCCTAGTTATTATACAGATATATTTCTCCTCTATTTTACCAGCCTTCATCTATAGAAACAGAAACAAAAAGGTCAGGAATGAAACACATGCAATTCTCTCTTTTTTTTCACCCTCTTTGACTCTTCATAATACATGTATAGATCTGAATTCGGATATATTCTTATATATCTCACTCACTGGCCGCAAACACATACCAAAGCCCTTATGCTCCCACCCGCAGCATACTCCATAACAATCCACAACTTAGTTCCATGAAGATAACTACCATAGTATCTGGTTATATTCTGCGACTCGCTATGCTTCAACTGAGATAATAAATTTATTTCTTTTCTAATATCTGCGACATCGTCCTCTTCCGTGTCAAGATCTAATACTTTTATAGCCACTACTTGCTTCGTCTCATTATTTATGCTATAGCAATGTTTACAAGGCAAGAAAAAGTTTACGAGTCATTCTGCTGTTCTGATTTAAAAAAGAAAGATCGTCTATTTTTTATGTTTTATTCTCAACGGTATAATATACCCTTTATATACAGCCCCATATGCACCACGACCGACAAGTTCTTGTTTCGTAAAAAGTTCTTTAGCTTTTGGTCTAGCCAGCGAACGTGGTTCCTGCATATGACCAGACATGGGGTGTTGTCCGAGTTATTGTCTATTTACAAACAGGTGGAATTAAAAAAACGAAAGGGAAAAAAAAGGTTCTGCAAAAATCGTTGTTTACCACCAAGCACTTGGTCTATCATCCAATCGGGAAATTTTCAAAGTACGAAGTGAAACCAAAAAAATATATAGTGTAGCGGGAGAAACCTTATTTGGGCATATTGCAAAAAAAAAGATGATTTGAAAGGGTAAAAAAAACTCCCTTTTTCCCCCCCAAAAACTATATGCGGTTAACAGGTTTTTCCCGAGAACGGTGTGAGAGTGGGGAAGGAATAAGTGGGGGAGGAATAAGTGGGGGGGTGACCCTCGACGTAATATGGCAGGGTTGACTCCGAGGGGAAAAGATTAAAGATGTAATAAATTTTGTACTACATAAGTAACATATCCGTAACATTAATCGAAGATTCCTTTGGTGTCTCGTCAGAAACGAAGGAAAAAAGTTCTTTTGCATTCGCCTCTGCAGCATATCTTCCATTACGGAGAGATCACGTGTATTAGTGGGAGGTAAAGGACTGCGCCTTAATATTAAAAATTTAGAATAATCTTAATTTATTATTATTATTATTATTATCACTATCACGACACCATTTTGCGTTACATTTATAATAATTGCTACGGCTACTGCCGAAACTGAGATGATTGATGGCTTTTGCATCATCTTGAATACTTGTTTATAGAAAGAAGAATTCTAAACTATAACTATAAACCCGCTGGCCATTGCAGTTGATAATCATACTACGAATAAGTCTTACGCTCGCAGAGGATAAACTATTTCAAAAACACGAAATAATATCATATATTTTAAGTAACAAACCAATTGCTCAAACAGATACTACGAGGTCAAATGACAGTAATAGCAATGATAACAGTTTTATAAGCTGTTTCTTCCAGTTGATTTTTTTCTCAAGTACATTATTAAAATAGATGCACGCCTTTTCCCAAGAACAATATGTTCATGCCATTTGCATTTCGACTGTACCCCAAGACATGGCGCGCTTAAAGAATGACTTGCGGATGCCATTGTCAACACAAACTCTGTGTTTGGATAATGCGGCTGAACATATGCAATTCTGTTTTACAATTATTAGCCCACCTGCAATATTCAACAATCGCAGAAGAAATCTATCACCGATGATGGAGATGGGGAGTGAATAAGGCATTGATTGTTGCTTACGTCAGGTCGCAGTCATTCCTGTCAACTACAATTGTCACACATACAGTACATAAAATCAGATGATAAGAGATACTTTTGTAAGGCAAACCATGACACTTATTTTGGTTCAAGAACTTTCACGTAGTCTTATTGGTCGTAGGTTTCTTGGAAGCGGTTCTTTCATACGTCTAAGTTCTCCTTGGACAAAAAGTCATTAGTCATAATAATACATGTTTTCGCAACCGTTTTGGAAAGAAACAACAGTAGGCCAACAACGAAAATAATACAGTAAAAGCAACCACTATCACTAGACTCTCCTGAAAACTTGGTTGCTATTGTGATCGAATACGTGATTTACACGTCATCTATATTACACAATATTATAATTACGTCTATTTTTGTTAGTCAAATTTAAAACCCCAGCCAATAGATACAAGGACAACCGTAGACGCATCGGATTAGCTTCTCTATAAACCAAAGGATATATTCAGAGAAACCATACGTACGAAGAAATCAAAGTATGTGGTCACACTCTTTATGCGCTTATAAGATAAGCCTCACTACAAATAACAGCTGGCGAAATAATATATTCTTTTACATTTATTAACTCCATATGTAAATCCATGTCCATCAAAGGCAATATCAATGGTGAACATCATGTATTGAAGTAAATTTCGATATGCTTGTTTCGGTTTACGGTTTATGGAGGTTAATAATTACCGAAGTAATAAAGTGTGAATCCAGCAAAGGGGTTCATTTTAAGGGAGTTAATGATAAGAACAATTGTACAGTTTCTAGCCGTAATCATCCCATACTAGTAAAATGTTAAACTTTCTAATTTCTTGAACAGCGCCATCGCGGGATAAACGATCATAGATAAACTATTAGCTAACTCCCGAATTAGCTGCTTCTTTCACGTATCAAGTGCGTGCATAACCCTCAATCCATAAAATAGGCTGCCTTCAAAAAATTAACGTGAACAAATTTATTTGTCTTCTATAAAATAATATGCAATTCGGTATGACATATTCCCTTAGACAAAGATCTTCGAATAAACTTTTGACTGAAAATTTCAGAGCGGGATCACTTCTTTATTAGACAACCAATTCCGTCGGGCTAATAATATTAGGGATAAAATTGGTTACTCTCGTTTAAAGACGATAGTATTCAACGTGCAGTGATTAAATAGATAATCTAATAACAAAAAAGCACGTAACCAAGACAGGAACGGTTCACCCGGCCGATTTACAATAATCGCATTAGTCCGCAAAGTGACATACTGCAAATAGAATGTCCGTTACGGATCGAAACAACGGATAACTTTATTGTTGCTGTCCGATCTAATACGTCTCCCATAGTATAGTAATATTCACTATTACTATACAACCTTCCTGAACAGCCGACTAGCTCAGAAAGGATGTCTTACTACTTGCCAAAAATCAAATGACAATTTGCCTTCAGACCACGTGGTGTCATTATCGCCACCATTATGTCTTTTAATTTGGTTATCTTATCTTAATACCAATAACTAAAATGTTGGACCACTGCCGATTATTTACTTTTACAAGCGTACCATGTGGGCATCGTTTTAAACTTTCGATATTCCATTAGTGAAACGTTTCTCCATGTCGATCAACATTCATAAAAATGAGCTAATTCACACGACAATTTTGTAGACTATCTTCGGCAGTATGCACGAGCACATCAACACTCGATTACACACTCAACCACTAGGCGCTGGTGAGTATTTTCATTTAAATACCGAGCATCGCATTCTAGAAAAGAAACCGTTTAGAAAACCATCATGATCTTCCGCTCTGCGCTTCCTGATATTGAAATCCCATCATTGGGCGTCTACCAATACGCAACGCGAAACGTAAATAGAATTGATGATAGCAAGCCGGTATACATCGATGCTGTGACTGGTGCCGAGTTGACCTTTGGTGATTTAAAGAGGGACTCAAAGAGATTGGCAGCCGGATTACAGGATAGGCTCGGTTTGAAGAAGGGTAACGTTGTAGCTGTAATCTCACCTAATCAGGTAAAAAAAGATATTCTGCTGTAAGCTGATGCTAATGAGAAGGTTGTTAAGGTGGACAGAGTTTACTTATGCTTAACCGTGTGTCTCTATGATATTATTAGATCGACTATGCCGTGGTCTTCTTTGGCATAATTGCAGCCGGTAAATTAAACGTTTCCATCATAATAGCTTTTTGTCGCCCAACACATACTCTCACCTTATATCTAACCAAGCGTTCATCATTTCGCAGGTGGTATCCCAACATTAGCAAATCCCGGGCAAACGCCGAAAGACTTCCAAGCTCAACTCTACGATTCAACCGCCTCAATCATAATTGCCCATCCGATCGCCTTGGCCACTGTTCTTGAAGTGGCAAAAAACTACAAGTTTCCACTGTCAAAGATTTTTCTTTTCGGTGGGGAAGAAATCGATGGTATCAGACCATACACGGATCTATTAGGAGACCGGGAAGCCGAACCGGTTGTATTTACGGAAAAAGAACTTAAAGAAACACCAGCGTTTTTGTGTTATAGTTCCGGAACAACTGGGCGGCAGAAGGGAGTTATGACAACACATTATAACGCAGTGTCTAATTTTGAACAATATAAGACGTCCGAGGAAGTGAAATTACATTCTGGCTTGGTTATAATGGGTTTTTTGGTAAGGTTTGGACTGGAATGTATTTTCTAGCGAGCAAATGACAGGTTGATTAGCTAATTCTGTTTTCACTTCACGCTATTTTATGCAGCCTTTTTTCCATATATACGGATTGAATGCCTTCATCAACACATCGCTTTCAATAGTAAGTGAGCAGTTTGTCTCTCGACGCGTCCCTCTCTCTTTCCTTTTCTCACGGACAATGCATTTTCCACTGAATTCCAGGGCTCTACCGTTGTGGTCATTCCAAAGTTTGATTTAACGATCTTTTGCACAGCCATCCAAAAATACAAAATCAACATGGCCCATGTTGTCCCGCCTGTTATATTATTGTTGACAAAGAGCCCGGTCGCAAGAACCTTTGACTTTTCGAGTATGCAAGTATTTATAAGCGGCGCTGCACCGTTGAGCGAGGCCTTGGCAAGCGAGTTTTATAGTATTTATAAAATACCTATAAAGCAAGGATATGGTATGACCCATGCCCACATACATACATGCGTGCATGCGTGTTGTTTTTAAACCACTCAATGAGACGTGTTTTCTAATCTTTCAACTGCGTCGCGCGTCTAGGTTTAACCGAGACATCGCCAGTTACTCATCTTGGTAGCGCCTTGAATCCAGTTGTGGGTAGGTGCTCTCATACCGAGAGGAGAAATGAGGTTTGCGCCGGATAGAAATTGAAATCTAATCAATACACGTATATGCATTTCAGGTTCAGTTGGGAAACTTTGCGCGAACGTTGAGGCAAAAATTATATCCGAAGATGGCAAAGGTAAATACATGCTACAATTTTCTTCCCCTTCCCCCATCCCTTTTCCTTTTTACTAAAGGACGCTCGCTTTGTTTCTCCTAGAGCTCGGATATAACGAACCCGGAGAGTTGTGCCTTCGTGGACCCAATATCATGAAGGTGTGTAGGAGCGCTATCGAATACGCGTGTGCTTCGAAATGAGAAGCAGCAAGTTGTTTTGACAAATGTACTCGTAAAATTTTTCATTTAGGGTTATTGGAACAACAAGGAAGCGACAGATGCGTGTTTCGACAGCGAAGGATTTTTCCATAGTGGTGATATCGCGATCGTTGCAAGTATCGTTACGAAAATGTCTTTTTCCGACGACGAGTGTTTGTGTTAATACTAATTAAATGTCTCTCCCCCCCTTCACCCACCCACTTTTATCACATCGACAGGATGAGGATGGTGGGTCTAAAATTCTTTTACATCTCTTGTCTTTCAATTAATTCTCAATAGGCTCACTTTTTTTTTCTGCTAGGAAATTTCTTTATCGTTGACCGCTTAAAAGAACTAATCAAGTACAAAGGCTTCCAGGTACTTTCTCGCTCTAATTACTATTTCTTTAATCCTAATTACAGCTGGCTGGTTTTTCACTCACCCGATCTATCCAGGTTGCCCCGGCTGAGCTTGAAGCCCTTCTTTTGACTCATAAAAGCGTAGTTGATGCGGCGGTTATTGGTGTTTGGTCACACTCGGAAGCGACAGAGTATCCTATAGCATACATTCAAGTCAAACCAGGCGTCAAGCAGACAGATGAACTGAAGAAAGATATTCAAAAATATGTTGCAGATAATGCTGCACCACACAAGAGGCTGCGTGGGGGTGTCGTTTTTGTGGAGCAAGTGCCAAAGAGCGCGTCGGGGAAAATCTTGAGAAGATTGTTGAAGGCCAAGAGTCAGCATAAATTATGAGACAATAGGGGCTGATTGGTTAAGAAGCTGTATTTATTGTTTGAATTTAATTACAAACGAGTGTATCCGACAAACACTAGTCTTTAGTTTGAATAATAGCTGTTAGTATTTATGTGTAGGGGCATAATGCAACAAAGTGAACGTTCGACTATGTGAGCTAATGTGACTGAGAAGACACTAATTACTAATATGGCTAACGAAGACATTATAAATTAATTTCTTAGTTGCATTTCTCAACCACTTGATAAATGAATTTTTACTTAAGATTATTATTATAGTATATTCCAAAATATTAATATTGTCATAAATTGAACTCTACCTCAACCATATTAATGATCCACACGCCTGCTTTCTATAAAGCGTTGAACTATCGTCACACAGGACTTGGTGTCTATATTTGGGATTAGATAGAAATTTACTCGAGTGTTGGGGAAGTACACACACATACTAAAATTGTTACCGGATCTATAAAAGAGGATTAGCATAGGCGCGCGATCTATACGCATATAACTGTACAGCATAATATTTTGGAAACGATCAACACAACAAGCTTAGTATTAGGGATAAAAAGGCGTTTGTATAGCAGTGTTACATACCCACAGAGTAACAATACTGTTGTATAAACAAAGAATAAAATATCGAAGTTGGCTTTGTTTGTTAACAATCGCTTAACGACTCGAGCATTAAAAAATTCGCTTCATACAATTTCCGCACAAATTGTACTTTAATATTAATTCAAAAATCAAAACCAGAAAAAACCGTATGCGTATTACAATGCCTAATGAGTCATAAACAGTTTACGTGGTACAACAGAACAAGTTCTTATCCTCCTATTGTTCGTCGCGCCGTAGTTTCACGGGCGGAAAAAGCCAATCGTGCAGTTTTCAGGCAATGTTGAGAGCAATCCAAAGAAGATTATACAAATTCGAGATTGGCCATAAAAGTTCAACAAAAAACTATTTTGAAAGGTTTCAACTACCCCATGTATTTTGATTATCTTAATGTATCATACCGCTGTCGAAATTTTTCATATGATCTCAAACTACACTTTTGTGCAAATTTACGCAGAACGAAATTTATCGACTTCAGGAAAATTTACGCTAGCTATAATCTTTCAAAAGTCTATTTGCTCAATTTGATCGGTCAGCAAACAAAGTTTTATCAAAAACTACCAACGCAAGCGCCTTGCCAGCACAAGTGAAAGCTTATGCATCAAAACATCATTCAACTATACACATTAGCGTTAATTCATCCAACTAATAATCATTTACGAAAATTTTAGAAACAGTTATAGCTGCAAGCTGTTGACTGAGAGCACAACGACTGTCAAGCTTGGAAATTGAACGCAGACGTGCTACGCATTGCACATTGATGTGTTACCAAGGCATGTGACACAGTCGATATGCTATGAAAGAATGTGCAGGACTCAAATCCATAATAACAACCATGACATCAATCGTCGCTGACAAGGATTGGCTAGAAAAGAGTCTTGAAAGTGAATACATTCGATTCTATCCTTATGATGCTTTAATCAACAGTCAATGCATAGGTTATGGTGCATTTGGCGTCGTTTTCAAAGCAACAGTAGCAACATCGGGCATAACCGTTGCTTACAAGTTGATCATACATTCGGATGAAGACGACTACTTCAAAAATTTTGTAAACGAGGTTTGCAATCATGCATGACGGAACTGTTACTAAGCCTATTGAACTGTAGTTCTTATATACTGTTCGTTTCGTAACCCATATTCTAGCTCAAGCTTCATCGCAGTGTAGATGACCATCCCAACATAATTCGATTTCTTGGTGTTAGCAGAGGTAAGTGAAAAGATCTAATGTGTTACAATATACAAGCAGACACGAATATAATACTTTTGGACCTTTTAGATGTCGGAGGAAAATACTTAATGGTCTTCGATTATGCCGACAATGGTTCATTACGGAAATACTTGTCGACGCCCGCTATCAAACTAGATTGGTTTGACAAATGTCAACTGGGTTTGGATATCGTTAACGGATTGACATATATTCATAGAGTAGGAATCTTGCATAAAGATTTAGTAAGTATAGCATTACTCATTATTGTTATAAATCTTTTTTATCACAGATTGTATATTGACCATATTGCTTTCCGATGATATCACTAGTCTTCGAACAACGTATTAATTCATGGGAAAACGGCTAAAATAACGGATTTTGGGACATCTGAAAAATTATTACTGCAAAAGACTTGCTCAAATCACCAAGGAACTTGTGCATACCTCGACCCTAAATGTTTTGATGACAATGATAGTAAGAGAGATGAGAAATCTGATATTTTTAGCCTCGGGGTTATTTTATGGGAAATATCAAGTCGAGAATATCCGTGTAGGGAATTCAACAATATATTTGACATTCGGATTTATAGGCTGAATGGTGGTCGCCATAATGTAGTTCCAGGCACACCAGAGGAGTATAAAAACTTATACATGGAATGCTGGGATGATGATTCGGAAAAAAGACCAACCAGCGAACAATGTTATCATAGGTTAAAAAATATAATGAGAAACCTGAACCAATTACCAAATTGTGATATCAACCAAGATGAAGAGAAGATTAAAGATCACTTTCTTTCTAATAAGTTGACAGAATTATACAATGAATTTGAATTTAAGGGGAAATCAATGAAACAAATAGCTGGCCTGATGAAAAATTGGCTGGTGCAAAATAATGACAACAAAGAAAATTCATTGGCTACATTAAAGGCTCATACTGACTGTGGCCAATGCTTTTTGTTAATTGGATTCTTTTATGCACATGGAATAGAAACAGAAATGGATCTTGGACAAGCTATTCAATGGTATCAACAATCAGCAAAAGCAGGCAATGTTATAGCACAATATAATCTTGGTGCTTGCTATGAGAATGGGGCAGGGGTGGAAAAGAATATTCAAAAAGCAGTTGAGCTGTATCAGAAAGCAGCTGAACAAGGATATGTCAGGGCATGGAATAATCTTGGTCTATGCTATCAGAATGGGATAGGAGTGGAAAAGAATATCCAAAAAGCAGCTGAGCTGTATCAGATACAGAAAGCAGCTGAACAAGGATATGTTTCAGCACAGAATAATCTTGGTGTCTGCTATGAGAATGGAATAGGAGTGGAAAAGAATATTCAGAAAGCAGTTGAGCTATATCAGAAAGCAGCTAAACAAGGAAATGCTTTGGGTCAGATTAATCTTGGTGTCTGCTATTTCAATGGAGCAGGAGTGGAAAAGAATATTCAGAAAGCAGTTGAGCTATATCAGAAAGCAGCTGAACAAGGATATGTTTCAGCACAGAATAATCTTGGTGTTTGCTATGAGAATGGGATAGGAGTGGAAAAGAATATTCAGAAAGCAGTTGAGCTATATCAGAAAGCAGCTGAACAAGGAAATGCTGTAGCACAGAATAATCTTTGGTGTTTGCTATGAGAATGGGATAGGAGTAGAAGAGAATATTCAAAAAGCAGTTGAGCTGTATCAGAAAGCAGTACACACACACACTAAAATGTTACCAGATCTATAAGACATGATAATGATGCACAACACAGATCCACACATAATATTTTTGAAATAAAACAATAAAAATGGTGTTTGTATAGCATTGTTTACATACCCGCAGAGTAACAATACTGTTGTGTAAACAAAGAATAAAATACAGTCAAACCTCTTTATAATAATAATGATATTATTTATGGAAATCTTATTATATCAGTATAACAAAATAAATGATAATCATATCTATTTTGAAATAGGAATCTTGATTTCACACATATTTATGAGTTAACTGGTACTTATAGACTATCCATTGTTGATTGTTTCTTCTTTGACATAATAAGCCCATAACTGACTCTGCACTTTACGCAGCTCTAATATCATTTTAACATCAGAAGCGAAATCCTCGGGAGGATTTATTGCACCCACCATTAACACCCCCTAACGCTTTTTTAACTGATACAGCAGGTCAACTTATTATTCTCTCATCAAGTTCTTCATCGGAAGGGCATACCACCCCTGCAATTCTTCATCCGTCATGCCTCCAGTCATTACATTAATTATCATCAACGTTAATATGTTCTTCTGCCGTCATTGGTTCTTCAAACCTAGTTTATCAATTAACGCAAGACATATCTCTTTCTTCTGAAATGCAGTCAGCATGCTTTTTTGCTTTTTTATGGGGTTTGATGTGAGATTATCTTTATTTTTTCGTTTCATGGAGTGGTATATTTGGAGTCTATATAGACTCCAAATATACCACTTATTTCGGACTATAACTATCCCATCTATGACGAGCGATTTACATTGGCCTCGTCATTCGAGTGACGATCAGTTTGCATTTGCCT